CAGGGTGCGCGCGCTGCTCTGCGGCGACACCTCGGTGACGGCTGGTGAGTCTAACCAGAGGGTGGCCAGGGCGCTCACCAGGGTGCGCGCGCTGCTCTGCGGCGACACCTACCTCTGTGACACGGTTGGGGAACCTGCCACGCCGTCAAGGCCGTCGAGGCCGTGCTCCTCCCTCCGTCCGGCCCGCTCTTGGTTGCAGACGCGGCCGCAGAGTGGACCTGCTGGCAGCCAAGAGCCACTTCCTTTTGGAACTGTGCCCAGCAGACAGGCTGGACCGGCAACCCTCAAGCCTGCCAGTGAGTGTGCCGGGGGTGGCCGGGAGCGGTCGGGGGCAGGATGGCGATGCGAGAGGGTACGCGTCTTTGCCATTAACCGACTCTGGATGAACGGGACTTGAGCCGGACAGGAGGACAGGGGTCCGGGAAAGGAAAGGGTGGGAGCGGGTGGGGGGCAAGCGGCGAATATGGTAAGAAAATAACCCATGGTCGGCCTCGGGACTCGGGACTCCTCCCCAGCCCGGGGGCAGTGCCACGCCACGCCCGGGCTGAAGGCATCCTCCACGAGGGCTTATAGAACAGAGTGGTGCCCCAGGCTGCTGGACAAGCTGTCCGAGTGCTACGAGCACGTGGCGGCCGAGTGGTGCGGGGCGGGGTCCGGCCGCACGGCGCGCAGGGTCATCCTCCGCGCGCTCGCGCCGCTCCCCGAGTCCCAGTGCCCCGAGCTGGAGCGCGCCGCCAAGGCCCTCAAGCGGGACAAGACGATGAGCTGGCTGCTCTTCGTCGGCGTCGCCATCCTCGCGAACATCCTCTTCGCCCTTGTCGTCCTCGGCTGCTGCACGTGGTACAGGCGCCGGCGCCTGAGGCATGAGAAGCTACAAGAAGAACCCACGTGACTGTACAGTGGAGAGGAAAGTGAAGTGGTGCTGGTCATTTGAGTCGGTTTGGCCATTGAAAAGGAGCACGCCAGAACACATCACAAGTATTCCATTAGTCCTTTGTTCTATTTTCCTGTATTGATCAGGACCCTGTGATGCAAATCTTTCACAGCAATAAAGAAACTTAAAGCTCAATATCTTAAAAAGAGTATGTGTGGAAACTATGATGGCAGTGGATATTTAATACTGAATGACCAAAAGATATCTAACCTTCAAAGTCACTAACAAAATTAGCAGGGACTGTGGAGGAAATAGAGTCTGCAGTTTTTTTTGTTTTTTTTTGTTTTTTTTATGGTATTGATGGAAAAGTAAAGGTAGAATTGAAAAGAAAGACTATCAGCTACTTATAAACAATGTATTGTATTCAAATGAAGTTTAAGAAAGAACATGCCTTGGAAATGGGATGAATCCAACACAAAAATGTACTGTAAATTAAACACATTCATAAGAAATAATAGTGTTACGTCCTGCTAACACACTATTAATTCTAAGGTCTCCTGTATAATTTAACTTGAAACAAAGCTAATCTAAACAACAAAAAAATTTACAATCCTAACTTAATACGAAGAGATCACCGTGAAACTGATCCAACTTTCTGCGCTGCTGCAATAGCACTTTCATTGGCAATCATCTGGTATTCTTGGAAACGCTGGGAGATCCTTTGATTCATTTTCATATATTTCTCCATACAATTAAGAGAACATTGTTCCTGAAAAGAATAATTAAGGAATCTATGAAGTTAAGGATACACATGCATAAAAAAACAAGTTTTATGAGATTTTCTTTCTTAATACCTACCTCAGTGGATTTTACATTTCTTGAGGTGAAGTCCCAAACACAGTCTGTGAAGCAAAGTTCTGACAACTTGTTATAAGATGCCAAAAAGTCTTTGAACTGTACAAAAAATAAAATGAGATGGATTATTTCAGTTTTAAAGGGAAACAGTAACAAGTATCAGGTAGAAATCGAGAGGTTAGTAATTTGGTTCTCGTTTAAAATGCTCAATAACCCACCGATCTCATTTGGTCATTATCGTCTGATGATGTTGGGGGGTTCATCTTGTCGATAACTTTAAACACGAAGAGAGACGATACAACGCACTAAAATAAACTGGACTTTCAGAACTTCGGAAATCTGCAAGTAAACAGAAACACGCTGCAACAGACGACGTATTATGGGGAAGTTGGAGAAAACGAAAGTAAAACTCCCTGCAAGGCTGTGGCAAAGCGCAACCAACATTCCCTCTCAGAAAACGACTTATCCCACCGCACCGCTTTTTCCTACAGACAAAGGTTCTGTCGTTAAATCCAAATCAGAAAAACAAAACCCTTCAATCACAGCAGTCTGAAAAATTAAAGTCATAGACCGATGTGACACATTAGCTTCATGTCATTGGCAAGTCTCTTTGTTTTGACAGCAGTCGCATCCCTTTGACAGCTCAGATGAGGTTGGTGCTTCATATCGACAAATGGTTGCTTTACAGGATCAATATGGCGGTTTGTTGAGTGATTGATAACTTGGAACGATGGAAAGTATGCAAATAGTGTGCGGCCGCGATCGCTTTGCTAAGTCGTGGAGTGTCGCGGTCCCCCGCACCGCCCCGTGACGCGGCCGGTCCCCTGTAAATATGGTGCTTCCTCCCCGGCACCGCTTTGTGCCGACGCCCGAGCCTGACAAAGCCCTCTGAGGGAGCGCCCCAGGCACCAGCAGAAAGCATCTCTCAAGCAGCCGATACAATCCGAAAGCAAGCAGAAAAATTACAGGAGCCCATGGCTGTGCCAGGGCCTCTGGGTGTTGCGGCCCAGACCTGGACCGTGTCCTGGGTGTGCCTTGTCCTCGTCACCCTGGGCCGCACCGTTGACGGACAGGATGTGAATAGCCCGGGTTCGCTGCAGGGCCTTCCTCCCAGCAAACCCCTCAACCTGACTGTGATCCCCGCCTCCTGCACCTCCATGAAGTTGTCATGGGTGCGACCAGAGGAGGGCGCCGTAGAGGGCTACCGCATCTACCTCCTGCACGACAACCGAACCGACAGCCCCAGCCCTTCCCTCGCCGACCCGGCGACCCAATCACCGGTCGAGTATGAAGTGCAGGGGCTCCAGCCCAATACCTCGTACAAGGTGTGGGTCAAAGCCTATTCCTCCCACAACCAAGAAGGTGACCCTTCGGAGGCGCTGGAGAACAGAACTGATGTCTGTAGACCAAGCGCTCCTCAAATCACAATTGCCTCCTGCGAACCTAATAACTCCCTATTTCTTGGGTGGAGCCGTCCTGTAAATTTTACGACGATTGACTATTATTACATCTCTTATCGGAGTGAAAAACATTGGACATTTGATGAGATGAGGCTAGAAGGTGAGACAGCCAACTTGGATACTAATGTTACCCTCCCCAATTTACTGAATGGCACAATGTATGAGGTAAAAGTAAGGGGCGCATCGAAGAGTGTTATAGATGAATTCAAAGTTATTCAAGGTGACGAATCTGAACCACGTAAAGTTTTAGTATCACCCAATTGCGACACCATGACAATGGTAATGCATTCTAACGCACATGAGCATGGAAACTTTGGAGCTGGTATAATTGTTGGTCTAGTGACTATTATTGTTGCTCTTTGCTTGGCAACAGCTGCATGTGTCATTTGGAAGAAATGCTTTCATGCTAGTTATTACTACCTTGATGATCCTCCCCGTGCTCCTCCTCCTACGTTAATTGATTGGGATGCTCAGACTGAAGAAAGTGGAATGAAAACATCAGTGCCAGTTGACATGTTCGCAAAGCATGTAGCAGAGCTTCATGCTGATAGTGACATTGGTTTCAGCAAGGAGTATGATGAGATTCAATTATCCCGTCTTCAAGAAGATTTTAGCACTGAAATTTCTCAGAGTGAGGACAACAAAGCTAAAAATCGTTACTTGAATATTTTGGCTTATGACCACAGCAGAGTTCAACTATTGCCTATACCAAGTCAAAAGAAATCATTTGATTATATCAATGCAAACTATATTGATGGATATCACAGGGCTCAGGCATTCATTGGGACTCAAGGCCCTCTACCAACAACGTTTGAATGTTTCTGGCGTATGATTTGGGAACAGAGAGTTGCTGTTATTGTCATGATAACAAATTTGGTTGAACGAGGTCGTAGGAAATGTGATATGTACTGGCCTGGAGAAGGAACTGAGACATATGGTATGATAACTTGTAAGGTAATCAAAGAGGATATAATGGCTACCTACACTGTCAGGACTATGATAATTCGGCATCTTAAAGTAAAGAAGAAGAAGCACAACTCGGCAGAGAGAATTGTTTACCAATACCACTATACCAATTGGCCTGACCATGGGACTCCCGACCATCCCTTACCTGTTCTTAATTTTGTCAAGAAGTCATCCGCTGCTAATCCATCAGATGCGGGGCCCATTGTTGTGCATTGTAGTGCAGGTGTTGGTCGCACTGGTACTTACATTGTCCTTGATGCAATGCTTCGTCAGATCCGGAGTAAAGGTGATGTGAACATTGCTGGGTATCTACGCCACATTCGTTCTCAACGCAATTTCCTTGTACAAACTGAAGAGCAATATATATTTATTCATGATGCTTTACTGGAAGCTATTGAAAGTGGAGAAACAAATATAAACCAAGCATATATGTCGAGATATCTGTTAAGTCTTCAAGCATCTGGTGATGGAGGGGAATCTGGCAATGAAAAAAGAGAGACACTCCTTGAAACTCAGTTCAAATCTGTTACAAGCTTCCAGCCAAAGGACTTCAACTTAGTTTCTGCAAGTAAACCTATTAATCAACCTAAGAATAGGTCTCAAGATTTGGTACCTGTTGAGAATGCTCGTGTTCATTTGACCCCTAAACCAGGTGTTGACGGTAGTGACTATATTAATGCCAGCTGGCTCCCAGGATTTAACAAACTGAAGGAATTTATAATCACTCAGCATCCGCTTGAGTCAACCATTCAAGACTTCTGGCAGATGGTGTGGGATCACAATGCACAAACAATAGTAACTTTGTCAAACTGCAATCTTGATGAAGGCTATGGTCCATTTTGGCCTACCTCAGATGCTGAATTAGATGCTGAAAATTATAAAGTTAAATTCATATCAGAAAGTGAACATGTGGGCTATCAAACTCGGGATTTTATTGTTCAATCTTTACAAGATGACTATGAGCTTCCAGTTCGTATAATTCAATGCCCAGAGTGGCCTCATAACTGCATCCCTTTGTCATCCATGGCAGAGCTGCTGCGAATCGTACAAGAGTGGCATTTGGATTATCAAAATGGACCAATCATTGTGATGGATCGGTTTGGAGGCACAGAAGCTGCTATCTTCTGTTGCTTAACAACTTTAACCAAACAACTCGAATATGAAAACCATGCTGATGTATATATGTATGCAAAGCTGTACCATAATAAGCACCCAGGAATATGGAAATCTCAAGAAGATTTTTTGCTTCTTTACCGAGCACTTGAAGCCATGTATGGCAGTTCCAATCATTCAAGTGCCGCAAGTGCTGCAGGTTCGGGATCAGGAGTGCCAGCTGGCTCTGTAGGATCAACTGTGGCATCAGTTCCAGGATCAGGGGCAGCATCACCTGTGACGCCAGCTACTGAAACTCACATCACTGTTACTGATAACCACATTATTTCTTCAAACTGCCAAGCCAATGGTTATGTAATGGGCAATGGTAATGGTACAGCTTCTCTAATTGCTCAGGAAGAACCTGAGCCTGAGTCAGATGTAATTAGTGCACCAGGGGGGAGCCCAGCTTGAATGTAGAAAGACCATTCTGCAAATGCCAAAGATAGTTACATATTGTCAGTGTTAATTAATGTAGATAATAGCATTCCAAATTCATGTGCATGGTATACATTTATTTATTTGTATATCTTTACTCAAAATAATTTATAAAATATTGAGGACATTTAAATAGCATTATACTAAGTTTATGTAATTTCCTTACTTTATATCTGTGATTTCATTTTAATGGATCTTATGGTATTCTTTTTTCAATCATAGTTATTTACATTGTTTTGGTACTCATTTTTTTAAAAACAAAGTGTTGGCATGAGCAAAGCTGCTCATCAGTTGTTGTAAGGCTACTACTTTGTAATGTTAGTAGCTGCATTCCTTTACCAACATGTTCATCTTGCTCTGCTTGCATTTATATAACACACTTCTTATTCTGGTAATCAGAATAATGTAAGTACCTGCAGTTTTTCCACTGGCAGTTCTGTCATTTTATATTTTTACTGTGTACTTTAAACTTACCAGTGCGTTTATATAAATATACTCATAATGGCTTTAATTTTATGAGACTATTGTGTGTTGTGTGACAAAGTTTTCAGTATACCCAAGATACACTGTTAAAATTGTTTCTAGTCAAACTGAATTGCAGCGACTGAACAAGACAGACTACTTGATTGTAGAAGTAGAGCTATAAATGCATATAATTGTTTTGTGTTTGAATGTTTCCAAGTGCCAACGTAATTTTGTTTAGGTATTCTACATTTTTTTTTTATGGAGCTGCAAAGTTGTATGCCAATATTCTAGAACTGCAAGAATGTATATCATACTGGTGAAACTGGAAATAATGACTAGTTCCATTAGTTTTCTTTACTCAAGAGGTATGTTGTGTTTTTGTTAGTTTATCAACTTGATTTCTTCAACACTTTTCTGATGTACTTTTAATTGTTTTCTCAGGTTGATAAGGATAATATTCGAGGACCGTCACAGCAGTCTCATCTTTCTGCCTTCTGTACAATCCTTATGCATTGTTTTTATTGAAATATCTTCCGGTAAGTGTAACACCTAACACATAGGCTGTGGCATAATCTTTTTGTGGTCACGTGACATAATATTTATAATTCTTCAGCAGTACATACACCCCAAAGTGTTCTTGGAATGAAGTGACTTTTTCTGTTATGTTTATTGTGGAATATGTTTAGTTGAAAATAACTGATAAAGTAAAAGGTGAAACTTGCAGACCACATCTGTCAAAAGCGTAAATGTAGCATAACTTATCCTGCAGAGGGATTTTTGGTTAAATTCTCTTGTTTTGTTTTTTCATATTAAATGAAAACAATGACTAGTATCATGATTTATTTTCTCTCAGGCGTAGTTTTTAGCCATAAAGCATTGAGGTGCACTTTTTTGAATGTGTCATAAATTTGTCATTTTGAATTTGCTCAACTGTTATATGATGCTTAGTTTCCTTTCATTTTGGTATTTAAGTACCATATTCAAATTGCAATACTCACAATCCTCCAATCTGTTTCATTAAACTATTGTCATGCTTTGTACTATAATGGTGGATTTAGTCTCGTGATGCAAAATTCCTCGCCATGAGGTGCCTCAGGTGATGCAGATGGGCTAGCCAATCTTCGTGCTCATAATGTCTGAAGAGAACTGCTTCAGCGGAGGCGATTTATTGTGAAGCGCCTCACGAAACAAGATTAAATCCACCATAAGTATTGCAGTAAGAAAACATTCCATTGCTTTGTAGGTATATTCAGGAATTGTGCATTATTATTTTGATTCTGAATCATGGGCTTCTCTTCTTCCTAATTGTGTTTTGTGGCCTTAAAATAGTATAACTTTTCTTGATTTAATGTTCCATTCCATTTGCATTTGTCCCTCACATCTATTTTTACGAACAGAAGCATATATGTCTTTGAAACTTTGTTAGGGAAAAACTTCTATGTGCCATGCCATGGTTGAACTGCCAAACAGTTTAAAAAAGGCATTTTGATCTCCACTTTTGTATCATATTGGTTGACATAATTCTCACTTGCTTTCAGTAAATGGACAAAGAACTGGTTGCTTTATCTTTATAAGAGGTGTATCTGGATGATCCTATCCTGAGGCCTGGTTTAGTAATGACAATCACATCCCTCTCTCTAACCCTTATACAGGCTTTAAAATGGTTAACTGTTGTTCAGTTTGAGAGCACCTCTAAATAGAGGTACGATCATTCATTGCAAATGTATATTCGTCTACCTGTGCATTCAACATGTTTTCCTGTAAGTGTTTGTTGGGACAAGGCACAACTGGAATTTGCTTGCAATCAAAAAATCACATGGAACTTTCAAATCTCTAAGACTTATTAAGTTAAACAAGCTAAACTTTTCTCTACTATACAAATTTGTTTATGTTCACACTGTGTATCCTTTTGGTTTCTTTCCTCTCCATTTCATCAAAGCGTAATATCCCCTCTTCTCAGAAAGGGGAAAACAGAAGCTGCTAAGATCTTTTGGAAGGTTTTTCTTTGGCATTCATATTACACAAATTTTTTACTAGTAGTGAGGTTCTTATATTGACTGTTTATGTAATGGACCTATTTATTAACTTCAAGACTTAGCAAGCTGGGAAAGGAGTTTTTTTTAACCATTTTTTTAACTTCCCTCTTGCTTCAGTACTGATGCAGCAAATGTTTTTGAACAAACCAAGGCATAACATGTTTTATCTGGCTTGGGAGCTCAACATTAAATGATATTGTGGATCTGTAGGGTAAGGGGTGATGCAGTGTTCTGGAAACATGAGATAAGAAGGGCTTCTGTAGGAATTTTTTTCTGTTAACCAACTGTTGTTAACAACTGTTAACCATACTCTCACAAAATGTTCATTTGATTTTACAGTTTATATAAAATAACCCTGTAGTGGACTTTATATTTGTTATTGAAATTTTTTAGTTTGCCGTAGTTTGTGTTTTACCTATGTGACTAAATTTCATCAAAGATTGATTCTAGCTCTCAGTGTGGAGGGAAATTCTCTTTATTTCGTATTTTTGTTTACAAAAACTAATTAGTGCATTGTTTTTCTAAGATTTGCTCTCAAGTGTGTTTGCAATTCATTTTAAAGATACGAGCAGCTTGTCAAGTCTGATTACTATAAGTAAAATCCAAGCTAATGACTGCAATGCCAAATTGTGTGTTTGTATAGAATTGATACTCATGAGTAGGCTTTTTGTTGACTTCAACATCTGTTCAAAATTTTGTCTAATGTAAATACCTTTTTATATTGTAACATGTAGATTGTGAAGTATTATAGTTAGATTGGTGTTATTTAATATTTATTTAGTTTGAAAAACTAGTACAATTTCTGTTTCTTATTTTTAATATTTCCTTGTCAGTTTTATTGGAAATATTTAACCAAATGAGCAATAGATTCATAATTAACAGTTTAATAGCAGATGGTGAAATGCCAGTACTCAACACATCAAGCGCATTATATTGACTATGGACATAGATTTTCCCTGATTAGTTTTTCATTAGATTATTCGTATTACAATAAAGTTGAGTCCCTGTTTTTACTTGTTGTTTTTAAATCCAATATCAGCTTGATGTCCTTTGTGTCAGGTCTGTAGTTGTTTAGGGCCCCTGGTGGGCCTTTACCCCCGACAATCTGTGAACTTCACAGTGTGTGCCATTTCGGCACTCCTAGTTAAACACCACTCAACCACTAGAAATTAGCAACAATATATTATTGTTACAACAAATGCAATGTAGAACCAAAATTTAGAAAGAGGCCATTTGTCAATTATGCAAAAGTATGATTTGAAAGTTATAGGAAAGAAGAGTTTGGGAGAATCAATTTATTGTATATTATATGTTGTATAGTTTTGGTCTTGTTACACCACTGTCCATTACTTCTCAAGGAGCACAGTCATGTGGACTCATGCCATATTGCATTTTAATATTACTTGGCACTTAAATTTACAGAATATGGCATTAAAATGTCCATGCACAGTTTCCTTTTCAATATTCTATTTGAGCAAACAAAATGTACGGTATATGTATGTGTAGCAAACTAAGAACTCCTGAATGCTTTGCACTTGAAAGAAAAAATGTTATCTGCTCAGCTAAAAATTGTTTCTCTTACTGTTTTCTGCAAAATTTCAGAGCTTAATTACATTGGAAAAAAGAATTGGACATTTCAAATTTGCTTTTTGCCTTTTCCTAAGTACATTCTACATTCTTGTAATTTACCCTAAAAAAAATGCTGCTGGAAGGGGTTTGATGTTCGCCGCTCATCAAACAGTAGAAAGTCAGAGGTGAACCACCCCAATGTCTCCGACTCTGAGCAAATGACAGACGAAACTTCCGTCTAGACTTCCACAACTTTTAATAAATGGTCATGTGTTCTGATGGTTGGCCGAAAAAGGAAAAAAACACAGTTTCAATTAATAAAATATTTATTTTACTAGGATAGCTAATAATACAATTCTTCTGGAATAGATGAGGCAATACCTTGCAAAACTGGTAAGGACTAACAAATTTTATTTATTTATGGCCACAGCAAATTCTCTACTCTAAATTATTGCTTTCACAGTCTTTGTGCAAAGTTTATCCAGGCACAATAGTACAGGTCAAGAAGTTTGTGATACTAAAAAAATCTTGTGATCACTGCTAGTTTACTAAAACCAGGTGTGTATTGAAAAGGGAGGCAAACAGCACAAAACTCACCCAAAGAATAAGTTTAACATACACCGGCATATTAAGCACTGATACATTGTTATAAAATCAAGCACTGACACAGTTTTATAAAATGAGCTCATCACTCAAGATGTAGTTAAAAGAACAAGGTTGCATATCTAACAAAGCTAAAGAAAATCAGAATTATTTGCTTTGTTGAGCAACAGCATCAACAGTTCACAACATAGATGGGAGCCGTTGCCTTGTCAGTTCAATAGTCAGTAATAGTAATATATGTATATGTAATTTGATGAGAGCTTGTTCTCACCATTATAATTGACTTGTGTTCATCTTTTTTAAAACAACAAAAATAAATAGTGGCCCAATTTAAATATTAACATAATTTGAGGTAAAGGGGAATCTTCGATACTGATATAGAAGAAAATTATCTTACACAGCAATAAATATGATGAATTAATGGCCCCAAAGAAAAATCAAAGGTTCAGAGTCAGTACTTATAAGCAGTGCATATTTTTCCTAGAACACTACACTTCTCCAAACCAAAACTAGCATAACAAAAATCATATAAGAAACAAGAAAACTTTTGAACTTAAATAAAGGAGGTTAAGGATTTCCAAACATTGAAGTAAAAATAAGAAAAGTAAAAGTCCATGTGAACTGCCTATGATTACAATCAACGCTGTGCACTACTGCCACCTAGGAAGTTGACCATAACTGTTAATGTATATTCACTTCTTTGAGTGCGTCCGATTGTCCTGAGTTATCAATCGGTCCAATATGAACTGTTTGGATCGATCCGGATTGCATTCCCCTCTCTCTTCTCTATCCCCCTCAATTCTGACTCGATCCGGACGGACACACTCTTTTCCGCAAAGCTGAGAAATTCACCTACATTTCATACATAAAGGCACTTATTTAATACATATACTATGTCGTTAATCTACCAAGAAGCATATCACAAGTTGAGTTGGTTACTACTGACAACCGTCAGTTGACTGTTTTGCTCATATCAGTTTTTAACAACTATCTTCAATTAGTTTGAATAATACTGTGGAAAAAATGTCTCTATCGCAATTTCAATAGCCACGCATTTCCCTTCCAATTTGCTTATTTTTAACTAGTAAGCTTGTGCAAGAAATTTTTTGTAATTGACTGAAACTCTTTGGTCTAAAACAGAATTCCCACAAACAACAATAATGCCTTTCATTTGGAACTACTATTCCTTCTCAAATCACAAACAGACTAGTGGGTGTTCAACCCTGCAAAACCCCTGATGTGGAATGGCTAAAATTAAGGTAACACATTTGCAATAAAAGATCTATGCAACTATGACATTATGATCTTCTTCTGCATTTCATCCTGCCTTTAACTAAGAGCTACAAGAGATCACAGTGCAAACAACCAGACTGAGAAATAAGAAAGTCTATTAAAATTTTCAAATTCAGGCGTTTAAAAGAAGCACCGGTATTACAGATTCAATAAAAACTATGAAAATCACCTGCTTAGATCCGTAACTACTCTTTAAAAGGTTTATGTTTACCCATTGCAACCTTATATTGAAGCAAGATTGGAGATGTTTCAAATGAACCATGTTCGGTTATCCTCTCAACATCCGATCATATATCAAAACATCCTCAATAAGATAAAAAAGTAATAATAAAAATTGAAAACAAATAATTTACATAAAACCACATGTCTTAAATATAAAAGAGAATACAAAAAAAAATTAAAAAAAGCTTTGTGATTTTAGAAATAGTGATACCGTACTCAAAACTAAAATCACAAAAAGTTATAGTTTTACAGGATTGCACTCTCTTTGAAAGGTAGTTGCCTGAAAGCAACACTTGGCAACACAAACAGAAACTCAAAGGTATAAAAACTTAAATTGTAATCACAGGTATAATCTTGCAAACATTGACAATACTCCCGAGGTCCAAAATAAAAATGGGGTAACACCAAAAGTAGTAATGTAATGATTGATTCACAAAGTTTGAGGTCCTACACATCATGTTGATCACACCATCAATTGACCACTTTAGATCAAAATTCTAAAACTACCATAAGAAACTTAAATATTAAACAACCATCAGAGCACAGTAGCTGTGAGGCATCTTGAGGTAGGATTAAACTGAAGCCTCTTCATGGAAAGGTGTTACTGCTGTTCTCGATTGGAAGTCAAACTGCCTAGAATATCTTTAAAGACACTTTTTGAAAATAATTTTGAATTATATAAGTTGATTATATACCTAAACTAAATACATCGTCTTAATGAGATTAAAGAATTTCCTCACACCAGCACGTGAATTTGAATTTATTCTTAGTTGTAATAGGGAAATGTGTTGTTGTTAAAATGCAATGTAAATACAGTACAGTTGCATTGAAAAACAAGGAATACTATATGTATATTTAGATATCAATTTCAAATGATCAAGTTTCGTGTGACTGATTTTTATAGACAGTTCTTTACAATGACTTATGCTGAGCATAAAATGTCCACTTGCGAGCAGCAAATTGCTGGAAGACGCAAGCATTTCCGGTTTGTATTTGACCTCAGCGTCGGACAGCAAGGAGCACCTTTCCTTGGCAATTTTCAGAGAGCTATGAGCTTTGTATTGCTATTCTTCCATCGTTCTGCCAGTATGTGGTTTTCCTCTGAGTGTAATTTTAAAGGTACCATTGCAGGAAGAAGATTTGGTGTCCCACCAGCCTTCAGTTTCCTAGGATCCAAGTTTGCTCCTAAGTGTTGCATTCCTACAATAAAACAAAAATTTTAAAAAGTTATCAACCCACCTTTCACCCATTTAAAGATAGGACTTGCCGTTCATACCTTTAGCTAGCTTGGAGAATGGAGACAAAACAATATCTTTAGCTGTGGAGGCACTGGGACTTGTAATTGCTTGTGTCAGTGTGTCACTGATAGTTTTCAATGAATTTTCACTCTTGGACACACTGATATTAGGGTTAGTTGATAATTTATCAACACTTTCGTGTCCTGAAATTACTGAGGTTACTGAATCTGATTCAGCAGGAGGCTTATCAGTTACCTCACCAGATGAATGAGAATGATGTTTGTGGAGTGTGAGACTGCTAGGAGGAACCAATTTAGTATCTTGTGCTTGCAAGTTTTCTTTAGGGGTTCCTTTTTTTAGAACATCATCTTTGGTAACAGGTTCCACTTTGGTAAGAACTAGGTTGCTCACATCTAGAGTTAAATCCGTGCGGGAATGCATAAGAGGGTATTTACGCAGGTGATTGGTGGCAGATGTATCTTGTTGAACCACCCTTGTCAGAGAAACATCGTGAATCAGAGGAGCATGACCACTGGTGTTGGCTGGAGAGGACTGTAATGCACCCTGAAAAACAAAGATACCAATAAAGTGTGTTCCACACTCCAAACTTTCATATTTGATATTGTATCTTAAACAGTCTTGGTAATTACCTTTCCATGAGCCATGACAATACCAACGCTGGCCAAATGTTTATCTTTATGTAGCTCGCGCTCTGGTACAACAGATCCAGTTAACTCAGCTCCTGAATTATTTTCCACAGGACTAATTTTTGGTGAAATAACTTGCTGCTCATGTAAGTGGTGCGCATTTTCCACAGATTTAAAATCCTTGGCCTACCCAAAAAAAAGCAAAAAAAAAAAAAACAACAGTATTTAAATTACCGTAAAAAAATTTACTTTATGAGTTTGAAAAACATCTTACTTGTTTGTCTGATAACTGCCCATCTTGACGTGAAGTTTGAGAACGAGAGTTTAGATTCTGTCCCAGGCGATTGAGTTTGGTAAACTGACTTGTCATATTTGAAAGTGCCTTACTCCCTAGAATTCAAATGAAAATTATTACTTGCTAACTTACACTGTAGTTCTGCAAACAAAATTATTTGTACAAGCAACAATACCTACCAACACTTTTCAAAGTTGTCAGTTGTGTTTCAGACACATTTCTTGTCATAGAAGGAATAGATGCAACATCTAGGTATGAGCTTAATAAACCACTAGGTTTGCGATTGGGATCTCCAGCCACAGTTCTAGATTTCATTTTCTCTAAGGGTCGGCCTGAACTTGTAGGAACAGAGGAAACACCAGCAATCTCAAGTGCCACAATAAACGTTTCAAATACTGCCTTCAGTGATTCTGTAATGATGATAAAATAAGTAAGATTGGATATTTTTTCTCATAAAATGAAAAATTTAAGTAGATACTGACCAACCATCTCCTCTTGTGACTTAATTTCGACAGCTACATTATTAAAAAAGCGAATGTGAGCAGATCTGAACATATGAAAATAACCTGGCTGACAATCGACAGCATAATGAATGCGTATGCAGTGATGTAAGCTGCGTGAAGATTGTTTAAACAAAGAACCAGTGGTGCTCAACTCTGCAGTTCCCTGCTCCAGCCACGTAATGTCTTTCAGTAACACTTGTTGGTACTTAGTGACTCTATCCATCTGTTCATCATAGCTGAAAAATAGATTAAAAAAGATAATAATGTTATTTGTAGGGTAGGTATCAGGTAAAAGATTGAAAAATTGGATTTGGATAGGAGCTATGGGCAGAAAGTTCTTTCATGCAACATTTCAAATAGAACTTACTCAGCAACATAATAGGAGTCTCTGGTCAGAATCAAGATAGTGTCCATTTCTGTTTCTGTCGGGTCTCCCGTGCTATAGAAAAAAAGTTTAGTGTAAGGAATTTGAATGTAAAAAGAATAAGATCGCACATCACAGTGTATACTAAAATGTTTTAGAGGAAATATTAACTAACACAGGATCAGCGTCAATGAGACCCCAAGCTCCAAGAACCATACTGGAATCACTAATAAGCATCTTCTTGCAATCTTCGATCAAAAGTTTCACATGTTCTGCAGTGTTTCCACTCTCTTCTTCTTCACCAGCCTTCTCTGATGAAAACTCTTCTTCAGACACTGGATTTCCTATAATTATCATTTATTAAAGGGAAAGAAACATGGTTTTCGAATCAAAATTTTTTTTGAGAAGGTTTAAAATATATTCCCTCTAAACATACCAAGCATGAAATCAATTGTAGCTTGTCTGTACACATCTTTAAAACGATTGAGATAGTACCTGTAACAACAATTATACAGTTATCAGTAAAGTGTGGGTCAGACTTTAATTCCACATGGATGGCAGACCCAACCAGTTAATTTAGAGGAGAAAAGCACATAAATATCAGGAAGTTAAAACACTAGGAGTAGCACCCAATATATTTCATCTCTACTTTTATCAGGTAATTTTCACAATCCACTACCCCTACCACTTGCCACTGGAAATACTTTTCAAAAGGAATTTTAGAACATCAAGTTGTAGAAACATACAATGCAAATCTAAACACATACAATCCAAACAAGAATTGAAATAAGTAAATGTAACACTGTATGTAACCTCCAGACTACTGTGTTAGGTGATACTATAGAAGAACACACACAAATTTGGCACCCATGTTGTTAAAGGCAAAATAAATACACAAACACAAGCACACAAGTAGCACTTGAACCAGCAGAACCTAAACTTGTGGGTCCCTTTTCATTGTTCAAGCCCATGTTATTGGTGAGGTTCTCAGTGGCACCAACCTGGCCACGTGGAATGTTGCTGTAGCCCCTCTAATTTCAGGGGCATTGGCTAAGTCGTGGGAAAGAGAGGGGGTCAAAGCTGCATCAAGTAATGCTGCCTCATGAAATTCTTCAGCAAGCCTGTTCAGCATGTCTATCGACTCAACTGATACAGGCTGGCCTAGCATTAAGTCTATTCCTGCTTGTCGATAAGAATCAGAAAAATGCTGAAGAAAATATCTGCAGTAAAAGTGGTGTATTGGAAGTCTGTCATTAATTTTTTTTAAACAATCGCAATAATGATGAGGGTAAAACCAAATACTCCATTTATCCTCAGCTGAAAACTAAAGTTGTAAGACATATACATTGAGTACAGTTGATTACCTGTTAGCTGAGTTCATTCCATCTTTCATCATTCCAGTCAGTTTTCGCTCCCCTGTCCTTGTATAGTCACCCTACAAAGATAATTTAACCAAGCCAGAATGAGAAGAGGTTTCTAAACTACAGAATATGCTGCTGGAGTAAACTGGTCAAATCCGTACCTTCAAAGCATTAGTTCCAGCATATTGTTTACTTATGATGTCTCCATTGTTTGCCCAAAGTTGCTGGAACATTGACCGCAGTGTAAGAGGCATTGTGCCTTCGGGTGGTATTAAACCAAGTTTGTAGAGTTGAATCTCCATGGCTGCTTTTGCTAAGGCAGTCTAAAAATCACAAAAATAATATTTAATAAAAATCAAAATCTGGGTATTGGAGTGCAACACAAACCACAAGAAATTTAGAAAATACCTGCACTACATTTGTCCTATCAAGACAATCAATGCAGTTCACTCTGAATACACCCTTTTGGCTACAAATTAAACCTTCTTTGTCTCTCCAACAGTAGCTCATATCTCTTAGGGTCTCCACACAACTTTCCACCAGAATTGAAACATTTTCAAAATGCATCCCTCGACTGCAATATGAAGATAATTGACTTTGAGAAATAACTCAGTAAACCAGGAGTTTAGAGTATAGGAGTTTAGATTGTTAAATAACATGTGAATTTATTAATTCAGCTTACCAATACTCATGGAAATCAAAAGTAGCATATGTCAGCTGTGGTGAATTGTACAAAAGGATGTGATCAGTATATGCATCCCATATAACACGTTCTTTCCCACACTGCTCCACTAAATTTACAACAGTAACAGGACCATAAATATTTAACTCTTCCTGAAAATGCTTTTTGAAGGCAATTTGATTTTCTGCTTCTCCTAAAAATATGTCGGATATTAAATACAGATTGTCAATTATTCTACACAAAATGAGCAAAAATTTAAAAAGAAAGAAAAAATACCTTTGTCAATACGAGGAGGAGGACGATATTTATATCCTGGTTGAGACCAATAAACAGGTACAGAACCCCGTACTTGAACAAATGAAACTGTGTGACTTTGGTATGATACAATTTGTTCTGTCTCAACATAATTTGCGCATTTTCCTTCTTCATCTACACCTCGACGCTTATATCTAGTGCCAGCACGGAAACGACTACGCCTTGAAATTAAACCCAGAGTAAACGTCTGAAACAATAAATTTATAAATTACATATAGAATTATAATAT